AGCATCAGCAGCAGCATTCGCATCATCATCATCATCATCATCATCATCATCATCATCATCATCATCATCATCATCATCAGCATCAACATCATCATCATCACCACCACCACCACCATCATCATCATCATCATCAGCATCATCATCATTACTAGCATCCGCACCCTCATCAGCATTATCATCGACAGCATCCGCAGCATCATCTTCTTCATCAGCATCATCGTCATCATTATCAGCAGCAGCATCAGCATCAGCATCATCAGTATCCTCAGCCTCATCAGCACCATCATCATAATCATCATCGGTATCGTCGTCATCATTGTCAGCCTAATCGTAATGATTATCGTCATCATCATCGTCAGCGTCGTCGTCATCATCGTTATCATCATCAGCAGCATCGTCAGCGTCATCAGCATCATCATCACCAGCAGCATCATCATCTGCATCATCACCAGTAGCATCATTATCATTGTCGTCCTTATGCTCCTCCTCAACATCGTCAACATCATCAGCATCAGGAGTTCTTGAGTCCTTGAGTCCTCCTCCTCCTCCTTCTCATTCTCATCATCATCCTCGACCTGGTCTCCCTCCCCCTCCCCTGCTAGGCGCACACTTTCTTGCATTAAGAGGCACAACAATCCACCGAGCTGTGCCTGGTGGGCGTCCCGACCCAAGATGCAACTAATCGTTTTGCACCAATGGCAGCTCAGCCTGGCGGAACGAACCTGAGGGCGGTCGCGACCGTCTCTTCGGCCGGAACACTGCTAAGCAGCCGACCCCCCGGCAACACGGCGTCGACTCGTGCGACTCCGGGGCCAAGCCCGCCAGCGCGATGAGCGGCCGTCAGCTGACCATAAGCGTCTGCCATGCGAGCGGTGGGTCCCGTCTGGACTCGGCAGCGCTCCATTCCGCCGAAAGTCAAGAACCGAATCGAATCGCCATCTATCGACACCTGCAGAAGCAACGTTGGAAACAAATGAGCTGTGTATGTCAGGCCAGGGACAAGCGTCGGCAGGTCGCACTGGCCGTAAGTATTATGGCCACAGGCCACAGCCGTGCCATCGCTCCTAATCAAAACTGTGTGGTCTGCTCCAGCGGCAACTTGTATGTAGGCTTGACCTCTGACCAACAAAGGAGGCTCGCACTGGCCGGCATCATTGTAGCCACAGGCCAAAGCCATGCCGTCACTTCTGAGCAGAACTGTGTGGCCAGCTCCTGCGGCAACCTGGGTGTAGGTCTGGCCTGCGCCCAACGGCGGAATGTCGCACTCGCCGAGGTCATTCGAGCCGCAGGCGATGGCTGTGCCATCGCTCCTGAGCAGGACTGTAAAGGCGTCTCCAGCAGCGGCTTGGGTGTAGGTCTGGCCCGCGTCGAGTGGCGGAATGTCGCCCTGGCCAGAGTTCGCCGACCCCGTGGATACCGGCGATGGAGATGTCTCCCCCTCCCCAACCTCTCCCCTGAAGGGGGGAGGGGAGATTTTGCCTTTTGGAAGGGCTTGGGGCCCGAATGGTGCTCGGGAGGGCCTGGGGAGTAGTCGGGAGACGCCGTGCCCCTCAAGACGCGCCCATGATTACCCAAGAGGGTGCCAAAAGGCCCCAAGGAGTACACAAGAGGCTTAAAAGAGGCCCCAAAAGACGGCGAGACCCCAAAGCACAAAGATTCATCAAAAAGATCTAGCTGATCGGTGTGCATTTCGCTTCCAAGAAGTGTTGGCCGAATCCCACCAGACCCTTGCGCATAGGTGACAAAGTGAATTAGTTATTCCAACCTCCTCTTTCCCTTAGAAAGATTTATCTCTCCCGCTGCCCTCTCCCTGGGTCTGGACGGGCTGACGAGCCCCGTCGCGAGGCGTCAGAGCGTCCAAAATGGTCGAAGATGTTTCCAAAAGGGCCCCAAACGGCCTCCGAGATCACATAATATAGCCCAAGATGGTTCACGGTAGCTTCCGACATACCTTCAAGAAGCCCCCAAACCGCCCCAAGATGGTTTCAAGTGGTCATGTAGTCACGAGGACCCTTCGACAGGCCAAAGGCCATCCAAAACATCTGGGAAATCAATGGTGTGTCTTCTCGCCTGTTTGAGTTCTGATGGGTTCTTCAGACCCCAAGCTGACTCCAAGATGGCCAAAGAGAGTCTGAACCCAAGAGCGCCCCGAGAAGGCTCCAAGACGCAATAAACCGGCCTCCGAGGGGAGAGGGGCGTAATTTGCCCTCCCGTGCTTTGGTCGATGGCCTCAAAGATGGCCTTAAGAGCGCCCCAAGGCCTGAGAGCCCCAGGAGGGCCCCAAGAGCCCCAAGGGGGCCCTAAAGGCCAGACCAGACAGGCCAAACGGACCACACAGACCAGACAGGCGAGATAAACAAAGTAGAAGATAATACCAAGCGGGCCAAACCGACCAGAGGCATCCAAAGGGGCCCGAATGTCGCCAGAGGACTCAACAAATCGAATGCCTCACCACATCCGGCCGCGTTCACGCGAAGCGTTGTGCATTATTACTGCCGCAAGCCACGGCCGCACCATCGCTCCTCAACAGAAGTGTGTGCGATCTTCCGGCAACAACTTTGGTGTAGTTCTGGCCTGCGGCAAGCGCTGGAAGGTCGCACTGGCCGTCCTCGTTATAGCCACAGGCCACGGCAGTGCCATCGCTCCGAAGAAGAACCGAATGGGCTACTCCAGCTGCGACTTGGGTGTAGGTCTGGCCTGTGCCCAGCGCTGGAAGGTTGCACTCGCCGAAGTTGTTGGGGCCGCAGGCGACGGCCGTGCCGCCGCTCCTCAGCAGAACCGTGTGACCTCCCCCGGCGGAAACTTGAGCGTAGGTCTGGCCTGCGCCCAACGGCGGAATGTCGCACTCGCCGAACTCGTTGGAGCCGCAGGCGACGGCTGCGCCGTCGCTCCTGAGCAGGACGGTGTGGGCAAAACCCGCCGCGTCCATCCACAAGAGCCCGCCACGGGTCGAGCAGCCTCGCGGCGCGCCTCGGCTCCAGCGTCACAGCCACCGAGGAAGTGGCCCGGGGGCCCCGGCCGCGGAGAAGGGGGCGGGCCGGAGAGCCGACCACGGGCGGGGGTGCGCCAGGCGAGCCGCGAGGGGCGCAGAGAGTCGTCGTCGTCGTCGTCGTCGTCGTCGTCGTCGTCGTCGTCGTCGTCGTCGTCGCCGTCGCCGTCGCCGCCGTCGCCGTCGCCGTCGCCGTCGCCGTCGCCGTCGCCGTCGCCGTCGCCGTCGCCGTCGCCGTCGCCGTTGTCGTCGCCGTTGTTGGGCAAGGGGGCCGCGGTGGGGGCGGGTCGGCGGACTTGCGGGGGGAGGCCCACAACGCAACGCGCCCAAGTCTCCCCAGCGATCTCTCGCGACGCGGAGTCAAACCGGCGAGGCGAGCCGAGGGGCCCGGTGGGGCCTGGCAGTGCTTCTGTCAGGAAGATGATCTTCCCGACAGGACTTTCGAACGGAGCCCAACCGCAGCCACGAGGGCTGAGACGAAAACGCTCACCAGCCCCCGAATACTCAAAATGAGTTCCGAATCAATTACAGGATATAGCTGCTACCACTGCCGTTGCTACAGCACTGCTGCTACCACTGCTACTGGCGCTCTACCGATGATGCTGCCACCTCTGAACGTCGTTGCTGCTGCCAGGATGTCCGTTTTGGATACTAACACAAATGTGACTGCCGTCGTCAACGCCACAGGACCCTGTCGCTGGAACTGCTGTTCCAACTGCTGCTGCAACTAGTGCGAGGGCTTTGGATAGCACTAGTGTTGCGACCCCTGCAACTGATGTGACTACGTGTAAGAAAACGTTTGCCGGCGTGGACACCACAGTGGGTTCTTGACTGTTGGAGCGCACTCTGTGTTGTGCAAGTCGTTGTATGTAGCACGCACGGTGCAACACGTATAAGAGAGAGAGAGACAGAGACACATATATATATATATGGTATAAATGTATGTGTATATACACATATGTATGGATGAGTTGATAGATAGATGGATGGATGTGTGCAGGGCTAGTTGCTTGTATGTATGTATGTATGTATGCATGCATGCATGCATGCATGCATGTATGTATATATGTATGTATGTATGTATGTATGCATGCATGTATGTATGTATGTATGTATGTATGTATGTATGTATGTATGTATGTATGTATGTATGTATGTATGTATGTATGTATGTATCTTTGTATCTATGTATGTATGTATGTATGTATGCATGCATGCATGCATGCATGCATGCATGCATGCATGCATGCATGTATGTATGTATGTATGTATGTATGTATGTATGTATGCTCCCCAATGGGAGCTTGCCTCTGCAGGGGTTCTAGCGGATTCATGAGGTTAAATGAGGTTTGCCGCCGATTTTCGCTGCACGCCCGGGTGCCCGGGTGCCCGGGGGTGCCCGGGGGTGAGGTTGGCCGCCGATTTTCGCTGGATGCCCGGTGCCCGGGGGGTGCCCGGGGGTGCCCGGGGGTGCCCGGGTGCCCGGGTGCCCAGGCGTGCCCTGGGGTGCCCGGGGGTGCCATATAGCCCTATAGCCCAATAGCCCAAATAGCCCATATAGCCCTATAACTCTATAGCCCTGTAGCTCTATAGCCCTCTAGCTCAAGAGCCCTATAGCCCCCTAGCCCTATAGCCCTGATTGGGGCTTTTCTCTGGTATCATATGTATGTATGTATACCTGTATGTAGTTATGTGTACGTGTGTTGTGTACATGTGTACATGTGTATAGTATGCACACCTGTGTATGTATGTATATATACAGGTGTGTGCGTGTTGCTATAGACGGGATTAAATATATGCGGCGCAACTACGCGGCGCAATTCATGGGACGAGTACACGTGCTTCAACAAATGCGGTGCGACACACAGAATGCTCTCTATGCAACGCAACCTTACGAACTACACAGCAACTGCCGCAGCCGCTTCAACAACTGCCTACACCCCACAACTGTCACGATCTAAGAGCGGGGCCAACTCGCCCAGGCGGATCCGCAAATTGTCTTTGAAAATTCCTCGAATCACCGGCCGACACCACTTAGGTTTTCCTGCACAGTTCGCGCGGACAGCCCCTGGCAGCCACGACTGCCTGGGGAGGGAAAAGAGAAACAGGCAGGCAGCAGACAGCAACGAACGCGTAGGTGGGAGGCCAGGGCTGCCGGGACGACGAAGGCGGGCGGGCAAGCGGGACGGGACAGAAGGAAGACAGCGAGCAGGGAGCAGGGACGGAGGGGCCGAAGGAAAGGAGGGAGAAGGAAAGCGGGCAGACGGGACGCGACGGGGCTAAGGGCTGGGAAAGAACGGTCTCCCACGACGAATCTACTGCCACATACACCGACACCGACCAGGCAGCGCAGGTGGGCGAGCTGGAATGGTCGTCGTCGGAGCGTCGGCGTCGTCGTTTCGGGGGGGTGAATGTGTATGTATGTATGTATGTATATATATAGATGCATGTGTATATACACACATATAACTATACAGATATACATTTATACATGCATGTATCTATATATGTACATCTAACTGTAGTGCAGCATCGGTGGTGCAATCTTAACGGTACAAGTAATGATGAGGAACTCGCAGCTGTGAGCTCCACTGCTCGAGCAGTCATACCACCCTTTCGCCCGCAACTTCTTCGGCAGAACCCTTTCGGCAGAACCCTTCGGCGCTCAGGCACTTCAGTGAGGGGCGGAGACTCGGGCGGGCGCGATATCATGATAACGTCGACAACGGTGGCAACGATGATGACTGTAGCGATGGTGGTAGTGATGATGACGATGACGACGGTAAGGCCAATGACGGCGCCGATATTTGTGACGACGATGACGAGGATGATGTCCATGTGTCGACGATGAAAGCGACTGACTAATGATGGCGGCAACGGCAGCGACTGACGATGACAATAACGGCGGTGATGCGATGGTGCTGATGAGGGCGATGGTGAGGAAGTGTGCGAGCGCAAGAATCCAGGGAACCTGGCAGACGTGTCGTGGAAGAGAGCATGATTGACATATGTGTTCGAAGAGCTCTATCTTGAAACACTTCGAGAACCCATGGTTTTGGAAGAATTTTGACACGCGCACATGGCGGCGCACGCGTGTGTGGCCCAGATGGTACTACTTGATACAGGTTCGTGCACGGGGCGCATGCTGGATCAACGCGGATACACCGCGTGGTGAGATGAGGATGCGGGACATGGACGAATGTGCTGGCATCAGATGGTTTTCAGCAAGTACGCACAGGCAGAGAATCTGCAAGATTTGTGATAACAAATGTTAGCCACTCTGTGGTGCAGTCTACGCGGTGCAATCTTCATGGTGCAATATGCGTGATGCAATCTACGTGGTGCAATATATGTTGTGCGATCTATGCGGTGCAATGTACGTGGTGCAACCTATGTGGTGCAATCTACGAACTGCAATATATGTGGTGCAGTGTACGTGGTATAGCCTACGTGTTGCAATCTAGATGTTGCAATATACCTGGTGTAAGCTATGTGGCTCAATATACGTGACAAAGCTACGTGGTGAAATCTACCTGGCAGAATCTACGTGGCAAAGTCTACGTGGTGCAATCAACGTGGTGCGAAATACGTGGTGCAATCTACGTGGCGACGGGCGGCGACGAAACGGATACTACGGCCACAAGGCGGGACCGGCAACCAGGCCCAGGCGACGGGCGCGACGGGACGGCGACGCCGACGACATAGCCGCCAGACCGACCCCCAGGCCCAGACGACCGGTGGCGACGAGTCGGCGACGGGTGGCGAACCCCTCGCCCAGCTGCTTATTCCAGAAGTGAGAACCCCTAAGTGCAAACACTGCTTGGGGACCCTATGGGTTTTTGATGTGTTTAAGATGGAACGCTTGCTGACCAAACGTATTTTGTATGATCTTGAAATGTGCTGTGTGCGCGCGGATGGATGTTGTGTATGTTTTTGCCAGGGAGTCTTGCTGGATGGCCTTGTGAGACAAACGAGTGCGCGCATAGGTATTTTTCAACCGGGATGAAAGGGGGGCGATAATCGGTCGCCTGGGATTGTGTCAAGTCCTCTGGAAAAAAACAAAAACAAACAACAACAACAACAACAACAACAACAACAACAATAACAACAACAACAAAAACAAACAACAACAAACAACAACAACAACAACAACAAAAAACGATGAGGCAGAATCACTGTACTCTGCAGCACGCGCGGCCGGCGGTAAGACTGGGCTCGGAAGGGGGGGGACCTGTCTCTTCTTGAAAGGAGAATCTAAGCGGCGAGGCGGCGACGGGCGGTCGCCGGGCGGAAGCCAAGAGACGCCAGCCGGCGCGCGATGCGACAACGAAGCGGAGACGACGGGCGGCCGCTGGACCAAAGCCAGGGGACGCCTGCCCATGGGGGCGGCGACGAGGCGGCGACGAGGCGGCCAGCGCCCAGCCAGCGCACGAGGCGGCGTCGAGGAGGCGACGGGCACGCACCGAGCGAAAACCCGGAAGTGTCAGCCAATGACGTGGCAACGCATGCAAGAGCCCATTCGTGCAAGCAGCGATTGGGGATGCACCTGCTACGACCACCGTGGGTGCTGCTTGCTTGCACTCCTGCCACAAATATATTTGCAAGGCCACCACTCCGTCGACTGATTCGACGACTACCGCTGAGACGATTGACCCCATTACTCTATTCATCCGTCCGTACTGCACTAAATAGTACTACAACAATGACGACCCGGAATGTTGCACCTTTACTGTTGATGGCGGTAACCAATTACTTCCCAGCGTCTAGTAGCGGTTCTTGTGTTAAGGAAACGTGTTGTTTTCGTACATTGCGAAGCATTGGTAGTGCCCCTCTTCCCCCCCTCACCGACGCATGGATCCCAGATAGCGCCCAAGGGTTCGTACAAACCCTAGATTGTTCTTGTCAGCCTTCAACACGCCAAATTGAAAATACGACAGCATCCAACATTAAACTCCTCGCTCCCTCCCTCAAATCTACGTGGCACATACATACACGAGCGCAGCTGGTCATACATACGATCAACGGTGCATGTCACACGAAGCCGATGTTTGAAAACGTCCTGTTTCATTAGCTGCTCTCCGTGCAAAATTCGCGCTCGAAGGCAGGATATCACAAAAACAATGCGTTAGAATATCTGCCATGCGATTGGCACACTGTTGCTAGGACAGTGCACGAGCAGGGGTATAGCATGACAAAATGGAGCAGAACGTGGTAAACCAGAGTGTCGCAAAAGAAATGGGCCGAGAAAGAGCCGAGCTGTCGGTCCCGCACTGTCCTCGAGAAGTGGGTTGCGCATGAGATTTTGTAAGGTGTGGTCCTGGCAAATGTTTCGAGAATTGGACTGCGCTTACAGGTATCCCGCAAGATAGACGATGTCCAAAAGTACGTTCTCACCCCCGCACAACCACAGTGCACCCAATATGTCCGCACGGAGGCAAAGCTCTTGCCCACACGAAGGCGACTTTCGACCCTACCACTAAAATTGCGACTACTGCCTCTGCGGTTACTTAAGCTGACACTGAAGCTGGCACTGAAAACAGAACGTACCAGATCTAGCGAGCTAGTGAGCTCCAAACCATCGGAACAATGCACCGCAGGGCAAGGACGAGGGCCAGGGGCAGCCGAGGACAATGCCGAACCAAGGAAATTGGCGGCGACCAACCAGTGCAGGACCGAGCCAGGAAACAGCGAGGAAAAACGGCAGCAGGAGCAAGTAGCCAACGAAGGACGTGGCGTTGGAAGGAGGAGGACGGGAAGGAAGACGATGCCTCTGCAGCTTGCGCTGCCCTGCCGAGGCCAGCCGCGGACACAGATGCAGCCGACGAGCACGGCACTTCTCGGGCCTCGCCTCCAAGGGCAGTGGCTGTGGAGGCAGGCCGAGGCGGAGACTGAGGAGGAGAAGACGACAACGACGGCGAGGGCATGCTGCCCTGCCTGCACCACCCGTTCCTCTGGAGAGCGGCGCGCGGCGCGCAGCCGCGCGCCAGGACTGGCGCGCCCTTCTCGTAGGACATCTGGACGGCACTCACCTCGAGGCGGCGCGCGCCGGCGACCAACGAAACCGCCGCGTTCGCGGCAGCCGCCGCTGAGGCTCATGCAGCCGCCGTGGATGTTGACAGACCACCCCGTTCCTATTCCAGCCCCTCCCCTCAGACTGGGCGCTGACAGAACTCGTCAGAGCGAGGGTCTCATGCAGGCCATGCGGAGCAGCTGCAGGTGGCATGGTTTGGTATTAGCACAACGGGCCCTGAGGGAAACGGGCCTTCGACCATGGGGGCCCTCTCCATGGACCAGCTTGTCATCCAAAGACGTTTCTGGACGATCCTGGGGCGCACGGAGGACCCCAGAGCCAGAAAACGACGAGAAAAATACGGAACCCGCTTCCCTCAGGACCCCTTTCCTCCAAGACGAATGATGCTCAATGTGAGTTACGATGACGTCGGCGGCGGCGGCGGCGGCGGCGGCGGCGACGACGACGACGACGACGACCCCCAGCGCTCGGCGGCGGGCCTCTGGCAGGCACCGGATCAGCGTCGGGGCGCCCTGCGCGGGAGGGATGGAGGGAGGGAGGGAAGCGAGGGAAGGAGGGAGGGAGGGAGGATACGAGGAGGAGGAGGAGGAGGAGGAGGAGGAGGAGGAGGAGGAGGAGGGAGGAGGGAGGAGGGAGGGAGGGAGAGAGGGAGAGAAGATGCAAGGAGGGAGGGAGGGAGGATGCAAGGAGGAAAAGAGGGAGGGAGTGCCTCAGTCCTGGCCCTGGTCCCGGTCTCGGCTGCGATTCTGGTCCAGGCTCCGGCCTTTGCCTCAGTCCCGGCTGCGGCCCCGTCTCCAGTTTCGGGTTCGATCTCGGTGTTGGCATCGGCCCTGGCCTCTGTCCCGGTCCCAGCCGCGCCTTTGGTCGCGGCCATGAGGGAGGGAGAGGGAGGAGGAAAGGCGGCGGGAGGAGGGAGAAGGATGGGGGTGGGGAGCTCCAGGGCGTTCGAAAAGCTCAGGGCGTTCCAGGGGGTCCAGGGGCCAGGGACGACGACGACGACGAAAGAGGCAGGAAGAGAGGGGCCGAATTTTCAGTTGTGTTCAAAACTTTCGACTGTTTCCCGTGGTGTTAGGGGGGTTCGATTGCGATCGGCGATGTTCGGAAGCTGTCGGAGGTCTTGAGCGCGTTCTGAAGCCTTCTGGCCTGAGGATTCAAGAGGTAATGAAACCTTCCGGGTGTTCTACGAGTTTTTGAAGAGTTCTTGAGGGGGTCCACGGGCCAGAGGGGAATGGCCTGTGGAGCTTCTGGCGTCTTCAGGTCAGCTCGGCTAGCATAAGAACATCTGACCTGCTCTGTCAAGCCAGGGGAGCGGAGAAGCGGGGGATGGACGTGCTTCTTCCCAGTCCGAATTGCCTACGGGGCCATCAATTGCTTCGTCAAGAGAGGCGCTGTCTAGCTGTTGTTAGCCGGCCAATTCCTTGCGACACGGGCGTCTGCTCATCGTGCAAGTCCTACGCCATGCTTCGCTGCGCTATGATGCGATATTGTGAAGGACATGATCCGCCGCCGTGCCGCTAGGCACTCGGTGAAGTGTCCTCAGGTATCTTCGAGCCCTCTGTATCGAAAAGTAAACACCCTTTGAGCGGTAAGATGGGATTCCCGAGTGGGGGCGTTGTGGATAGCACCTTGGATCCACTTGCGGCGCCGCGGGTGTCCGTCACCGTGCTTGGGGACGCTGCGCGGAAGAGGTTGTGGTGCGGCATAGCTGTACCTGGCGATCTAAAGATGCCGCGCTGCCTCTTATCCCTCATTGTTTCTGTCCGCATCAGTCCGTCTCAGGTCCAAACGCCCGTCAAGTATGCACTTAACGATGTCGGGGCCGCACGGAAGCAAATACATAACGTCAAGCACGTCAGCATGTTCGACAAAGGCGTCTGACGGCGCTTCCAGACAAACACAGGCACGCTCCGATGTAATTGAATGAAAACAACAGTGCTTTCAACGCAAGCGCGCAGCCAGGTAATGAGTTAATATCATCTCACACTGAGCGACAGCATCGTCCACCACCACCTACCTCGTCGTCCCCATTCGTACCATCCTTCCTTGATCACACCCGTTGCCACTCGTAACGATCTCAAACAACGCTCCACAGGTTCGCGCCTAAGGCGGTACCCCGAGGTGCAAAACATACCAGGGTATACGCCGTCAGTCCTGCAGCGTCTTCTCCCCCGCCCTCCTTACCCGACGACGACCTGCTCCACGTCCTCCACCTAATCATCATCCTCATCCTCGCTCTCCTCCTCCCTTCTCAATTTCCTCCCCCCCCCTTCAAACTGTGGCGTACGACGGTTTCAAATCAAAAGCCTCCTCCTCATCTTCCGCATCCTCATCCTCATCCTCCTCCTGTCCCTCCTCATCACTCCTCACTTTCCTCCACACCCTCCTCCTCCTCCTCCATATCCTCCTCCTCCATATCCTCCTCCTCCTCCTCCTCCTCCTCCTCCTCCTCCTCCTCCTCCTCCAACCCCGCCTCTTCGTCCTCCTCCTCGTCCTCTTCCCCCTCCACCTCATCATCATCATCAGCAGCAACATCCGCAGCATCAGCGTCAGCATCAACATCATCAGCGTCATCAGCATCATCAGCAGCAGTATCATCACCATCATCGTCATCATCATCAGCAGCATCATCATCATCAGCAGCATCAGCATCATGATCATCAGCATCCCCATCATCATCAGATTCATCAGAATCATCAACATCATCATCAGCAGAATCATCATCAGCACCAGCATCATCGGCACCAGCGTAACCAGCATCAACATTACCACCATCATCACCACAATCATCAGCATAATCACAATCAACAGAAAGACCAAATCATCACCATGATCATCAACAACAGCACCATCATCATCAGCAGCATCATCACCAGCAGCAGCACCATCCTCATCCTCACCCTCATCCTCATCATAATCCTCTTCCTCCTTCGCCTCCTCATCCACACCCCCATCAGCATATTCATCATCACCAATATCATCAGCACCATCATCAGCATCATCCACATCAGCTGCATCATCGTCACGATCAGCAGCATCAGCAACATCAGCATCATTACCATCATCGTCATCACTCCTCCGCCTCCTCCTCCTTTGCATCATCATAATCATCATCACCACCATCATTATCACAATTACCATCATCAGCATGATAATCACCAGCAGAATCAGCATCAGCATCAGCATCAGCATCAGCATCAGCATCATCATCAGCATCATCATCATCACCGTTAAGAACAAAGTCAGCAGAATCAGTCTTTCCTCTGAGAGTCGGGGTAAGATGCCAAAGGTATTAAGGTCTCATGTTGACTCTGCTCAATGGTAGAGGATACGGGATGAGACATCGATGAAACTATGGGTTATCCGTTAAGCAACTACACTCAAGTATAGGAAGTGAAGAGTCCGGCCAGGGACGGACGACGACACGGGCCGCCCACGCGCCCCCCGGTGCGCTCCTTTTCTCACTCGAGCAGTAGATGCAGCTTCGGTATACAGTGATACCAATGTCAAGGTATGGCAAGGCAGGCAGCAGGAGAGGCAAGTGCATGATGATGCGGAGAGGAGCATATTTACTCCCACCGCGGCGGGTTTCGTAGAGTCCAACCAGCCACAGCACACCCGGACTGCACATATTTACAGCCACCGGAGCGAGCCCCAAAAACAGTTTACCGCTCAACGGTGGTTGCCAGGGGGCTGAGGGCCGGAGAAAACCCGACGAATCCAACCAATAGTTAAATAAAACCTCTCCGCCGACACGACTAGGTCGTTCGGTCGGTGCCGTGGCGACTTTGTCGCACGGCTTATGTATGCCCTCACTTGTTGTACTAGAGGTACCGCCCCTGCAAAACGGAGATGGAGGTCTCGGATTCGATGGCGATGAGCCTCCCGTTTGTCCAGCTGTCCAATAAGACGGAGCTGGCTTGCCTCCCTTGCCACGGCCAGCATTAGGGAGCTGACCTGTTGTACTTGTCCTTGTCCTTCTTATTGGTGTACCCCTTGTAGTAGTCGCAGTCGTAGAGGAGCACAAAGTGCCACATCCGACTCTCGTTCTCTTCGCGGGACATCCAGTAAATGGCGTTGCGATGGGCCCAGTATCCCTGCAATCCATCGCCCGTGTACTTCGGGCAGTGGATCTCGGGGATGTAGCCGCCAGCAGCGCGCCCGGCATCCACGGCCCCGCCGCGCGCGCGCGGACATTGACCAATCCCATGTGTCCCCATCAGAAGAACGTCTCGAGCACTCTTCTCCCGCCGTGACGGTTTGACCGCCGGCGGAGTAAGGGGACTCAGTAATGTCATCGTTGGCCCGATCGTCTTGGACGTCGGGCCTTCTAGGCGGAGGAGGCGGATCAGGGCGAACAGCAAGGCTTGGCCTTGCTTTCGCAACAGGAACCCCTTCCGAACTGGCTGCGCCGTCAGAGGGCTCGTTAGCGCCTCCTTCCTCGCGAAGACGTATTTCATGCTGCATTTTAACAGATCTTACAATGCCCCTCGCGGCAGTAGCGACATAGGCACCATATTTGCAACAGGCAATGCGAAAGGGGCCTTCATCGCGGTCTTGGAGTTCAGTTGCTTCCACGTATGGGTATAACCAGAAGACAGCATCTTGCAGCTTCATGCCCTGGCGACGGATCTCTGCACGACCCTGTCTGCCCATGTCGCGGGCCCACGCCTCGATGAGGTCATCTGTCTCCACAGCCGCACGAATGCGGCAATCAAGCGCGTATGCGTCCGTGCGACGCTTGTCATTGTCGCACCCTGCGTCTGCGTCGCGGGTAAGAAACCCCTCCGAGGGGCATGCAATGTAATACCCCTCATCAATAAAATAACTAATGAGCTCACGGACGATCACAATCACGCGTATGATACGGAGCCCTAACTCAAGGTCTTTAGCCGGACTCTTCCAATTCCACTCAATCGTCTGTCGCACATCGTCAGGGACATCATGTGATACTTCTCCCGTTAGGCGCAACCTATCGGTCGCGCT